TATATATATAAAGCCGACTACCTTTGCTATCGAAATCTATATGAACACGTCAGGATACTAATATACTGTACCTGTGGAGTGTTATGAGCATATTCAAGACACAGATCTCGATGATTGAGGGCGTGATAAAACTAGCAAAATTGAAAACATATCTGACATCTCAGCATATCCCAAAAGCTTCTTTTAATAGTCTAATAGTGTATATTAGTTGGTTTGTAGCATGAAATAGACCAGCTTCGAAACAATAGTGGTATTCGTTTCGCCTTTACTTACCAGCTTTAATACATTGGTTAACACCTGGGCACTGATACTCTCGTCCATACTGTGAGCTCGCTTCTCACTAAACGTGTCTAAGGATCGAGATGCATCTGCAAGAAAGGGTACTTATTGTCCACATCTAGTCCACAAAGTGAAAGAATTGAGAGCGTGCTTGTATTGATGAGAGTGAACTACACAAGCAATACCATCAGCTATATAAGCATTCGGTTAGCATAACACAAGGCAATTTTGTCAATCTTTAAAACAGACTCGTCCAACATACATCGCAGACTATAGCCGGATTGATTTTATATACAACAACAAATGGGGAATGATACACTACAAATGCCAATGGAGAGTACGTGAAGTGTCTGGATGTACTTACAATATAAAAATAAGTATGGAGACTGGAATTAGAGCTTACATAACTTTCTCAGCGGTATGTACTCTCAATTCTTGGTACATATCTATTTTTAGCTCTGCCTGATATATTTTTAGCTCAGTCTGTTATTTATTGGTCGATTCCACGGCAATCTCCCCAATAGAAATACATACAGTGTCTAAATGTGAAAAGTGAAAAGGGTGTTTCATTTAGAAGGCTATGAAAAGGGTGAAGTTGTGAACTGCGAACAAACAACGGCCTCAAACGCTCAAACGCTCAAAGACAGCTCACTAATCATATGGGAACACAATAAGCGTTTCTGCTTCAGTCCATCGAATTACGTTTAGCCTGTAAACACATTGAATTAAATTGTCTCAATGGGATCTACATGCAAGTGAAATCGGGCATTTGCCTACAAAGGAGATCGACTCGACGGGAGTGTGCGTTTACGTCAGAGCCTCAAAAATTCTACCCTTCCAAACTCTCTTGATCATCCTACACAAGCCGATATTCCTCCTGAGCCTACTGCCGCTCCATTGCCGGCACCCTTCAATGACCCCAATATAGCCCCCCTCAGTCCCCTGTTATTGCCCTCTTACCTCACCCGCCCCCATCAACACCCCCTCAGCCGCCTGCTGCTATTTACCACGGTTCCCCCAGTACACCCTCTGCGATATGCGGATATTATTGATACTGCTACACGAACAGCCGTAATTACTTCTGATTCCTTACTTTCCAACCCCACACCGCTGCACCACCCCGCAGTCCAAGTCCAGGGTGGACTCACACAAGCACCTCCGTACGTTCACCACAATCCTACGACTCTTCCTGTCCATCACAGACGACACTTGATGACTACATCTACGCCTTATATGGTTACGCTCAGACAACTTACATTACCACCACCCACCACTACATCCACCAAGCCACTCCTGCACCTCAACGAACACGTCAGCCCACTCGCGCACAAACTCGACGTCCACAACCGTACAACGTTCCTCCGCCACTCACCACCCAACCAACGATCCCACTCCCCGCTAAAAACCCTGAACCCTAACCCGCCCCATGTTCACAGAACTCCAACTGTCTACGGCAGTCTTCTGCCTGCACCAACCGAACCGTCGCCCACGGTTAGTCCTCGCGGCGATTGGCTCTTCATTCTCATGCAGTCTCATGTCCCGGGCCAGCCGGCCAGGCAAAATCCTATACAATTCCTACTACCCCTATTTTAGTCTCTCTTGTTCGTTTTGTATAGATGCTATGAAATCAATGAATCGTAGCCTCCTAAAAAAAGAACATAGGAGGCTATCGTATGATAAATCATATCCTCCTGTTTCGTTTTCAGGGGGCTATGGATAAATACATAGCCTCCTGAAAATAGAACAATAAGAAATAGATAAGAAGAGCTTTGATAATAAATATAAAGCCCGAAAACCTTAAAACTCTAAAACCCCAAAAACCCAAAAACGGAAGTATGATTGTATAATGGTAAACAACAGGCGTGAAAATATTGTCAGCAGTGTAAGTCACCGGGAGTTATACTACAAGACCACATATATTTAAATACAAGAGACATAGACACACGACCACAGGTAATACTTAGAGCTCTAGATGAGACTGGGTTAGAATTCCGCTGGAACGGTCAACTGCCACAGCATTATAACTCGTCCGCGATGGTACACCGGATGATCGTAGCGCAGGAGACGACCGTGTGCGCAGAGGGGGTGGTTGATACCACTGGCGGTGACATAGTCATACACACAGGCACGGTGATTCACCCTGGCGCAATCATCAAGGCTGCATCAGGTCCAGTGCACATAGGCGAGAATTGTGTTATCGAGGAAGGAGTTACTATCATCAATGACGGAGACAGTGGCGCGGCTTTAGTCATCGGAAACAACTGTCTGCTGGAGTTTGGGTCGCATGTGGGGTCCGAGTGCGTGTTAGGTGACGGTGTGGTGTTAGAGTGCAAAGCCAAAGTGGCAGCTCATTGTCAACTAGGCCACAACGTATGTGTAGGTGCTGCCTGCGCGGTTGCTAAGGGAGATACATTGCCGGACAACACTGCCGTGTATGGCAAGGAGTGTTACAGGCGCACGATGCACCAGAGCGTAGTCGCGCTGCGGCAATCGACACTTACGGGTCTGTTGCTATTCTTGAGAACCCAGCTGCCGAAAGGGAACAACATTAGACCCGCCACAGACTGAAAACATGGGGTGGGGGGGAGATGCAGTGTGTGTACTTTCTCTCAATTGTCCTCAATATTCATGCGCTCATCGAGTTTTACCAAGTATGGATGCAAGCTTTTACTGGCATAGCTTTAAGCCCACTATTAATATACTTTGGGTTTTTGATATACCTTGGGTCTGCTTGCTTATACGCTGGTTGCACCACTCAGTTTAATGCGAATGCAGCAGCATTAGCTGTACAGCTGCTGCGGACTCTGCATGGGACTAGCGCATCGAGAATGCGTGCTGGGTGTCTGGCGAACGTCTATCACTGCTGACAGTTGAATACCTAGGAATTTCCTACTGGGTGCTGTGTTCTGTGTATTTGTATACACATATAGTATGTAGGTATATTTATCTACACATATAATATGCAGGTATATATTCATGTACACATGTATATTGCGTAGGTATGTTTATCTACACAATTATAATATGTAGGTATATTTACGCACATATATAGAATATGTAGGTATATTTATGTACACATATATATTGTGTAGGTATGTTTATGTCCACAAATATAACATATAGACATTCCTGCGTGGAGTATAGTCGCCACATGCCTACACACCAAGTACATCCACCTTTGAACATACGGACCTCCGCTGTTGCGATGAGAGCAAATGCGCAGAATTTCTCGGTCAGCGTAGTGGGACCAGTTTAAAGCGCATTAGCCGCAGAAGAAGCCCACCCAGTTTAGGGTTTTAGGGTTTAGCACTGTAACCCTACTTGCACTGCAGGAGACGGGGGGTTAGTCTTCATAGCAGACGTCTCATTCATTCATGTATCAGCAGAGCTTTCCTTCACCTTCTGTCCCTGTCGGTGGGCTGGTGCGGTGACTGATTGTCAGAGGTGGTTGGTTGGCTATGACACCGTCAATTGAGGATGATGGTAGGGCCAATTGCCAGCGATGTGTAACTGTGAGTGTTCAGCAGTCAGGTATCGTATGAGTGGCCTTGAGATGGGCTATACATGGGTGTCTATTCGTAGTACTGTGAATGGTACTATGAATAGTACTACGAATAGTACTATGAATAGTAGGGTGTGAATAGAGAGGACGATGGCATGCGGAGTGTTTGAATAGGAGAAGACGCGTCACATCGGGGGAGCCACGGAGGACAAACTATTGCTTATGTTTACTGTATTACACCTCAATAAAGAAAGATGGTAGCTATTGAGAGACATTGTCTGAGAGT